CTGACTCCAGATATGTATAGGAGAAACCTAAGGTGAGAGACGAAGAAGGACGGAACGAACAAGAACTACGATAAAGCTACAGGACTGCAGTGGATGGCTTCTAAAAACAAAATAGTGGTCAATTGACTGCTTTGCAATTGAACGATAATCAAGGCATTAAATTGTGATACGATTAGACAAAGACAGGAATATAGTAAAGGATAAGGATATTCTAATTGAGGTCAGAAACAATGGAACAAGCACCTCAAGGGCCCAATCAATTTGATTAACCATAAAGCCTAAATTACAAAGATAGTTTAAAATCTTAGCCCATCAAAGGAGATAGGTGGCGAATGGGGCGGTGTGTCACCTAAATCTCCCAATAAAGGAGATCATGGTACTATGAATAGGTCATATTGTAATTGATAGTAATATACAAAAGTAACAGCACGTAGGGCTGAACATTAGCATCGCTCTAGCTCTTTAAGTGGGGGTAACGGATAGTTTAATTAATGATTCCATCTTGTATGTTCTACTCTTCAGTGGTGAAAACTGGTTCCTCTCCACGTTGAGTTAGTTTAGTTGGTTCCTCAGCTATATGTATTATGATCAGTTCCTCCTCCACTACATTATGAGCAGCGTCCTATTCGATTAATTATGAATATTGTTCGTGCCATTCAAATGCCGAGTACGCGTTGGTTTTTCTCAACTGCCAGTGGGTTGTTCCGTCAATTCACTACATTATGAGTCGGTTTCCTCTTCATTAAAATTCGATGAAATCTGAGTTCAGTCATGCAATGCGTACGCGAGTTCGGATCGTTCAGTCGAACAGCGTAAGCAGTTGATCCTTCCACTGCATTCAGAGAATTGGTTCTTCAGTCAACTTCAGTAATGACTTTTGGTTCGGTCATTCTACATGCAATATGGACGGTGGTTCTTCATCTGCATTAGAATTTTCTCACTAGAGGTGAGCTAGCTAGGCATAAGTTGTACCCGGTCCTTTCATTGCCGCAGTTGATCACTTGTTTCCTCATGTTATCAGCTACGAGTCAACGTTCCAATCATCCACTTCAAACACCAATTATTCCTCACGCGACAGCATAGGGGTGGCTTTCTCATCAAGAATGACTTAGCTCAAAGAGCAGACTCAGACCCAATCTCCCTTCT